CGAAATCGCAGCGCACACGCCGCTCGATCTACAGCACTGACAATTCCCGTGATGAAGTGCTACGCAGTCCAGGGCGTTCATCCAAACGATCTCGGACAGCATCCGCTTCTGCACCGCGGAGATCTCGGCGGCCCTTTACCGTGTTCCCCTCCAAACGTGCTGACCGTCCATCGCTGTCCCCATCGGCAAATTGCAAGCATTACTGTCATGCCTTCCTGCGCCATGGGCGGAAATGTCTTTCCCCTTGTGCTCGTAGACGACCAGGACATTATCATTGCAGGTGTGCGCGGCATCAACGGCGGTGAAGCTTAGGCGTCGTATAAGTCGTATATTACAAACCTCGCTGCTGTGTCTCACCTTGAGTTTGAAAAGTTGCCTTGCATTGCTTTGGTTGACACTTCAGCTGCGCGCGGTTGTCATTGCATGTGTGTCTTCGCCGCAGATTTTCGATTGCTTTTAGCGGCCGCGCGATAGCCTGTCTTGCCGCTATGAACCCTCAATATTTCGAGTACCAGATCGAGAGAGGAGTGGAATGGATTCGAATTTACTCACCGGGCACGTGGCGACCCGTTCCCGATGATGCTCCAGTGCTCGCCCCGGTCTACGCTTCCACGTATCGGGAGTGGCGCAGGTCATATCGCTTCCAAGTGTACTGGTCCGAAGACAGCACCGGAGGAACAACAGCGGATCCCATTGTCACGCCCAGTTCGTATGTGTCCTACCACGTGTGGGAGTACCGAGACTGGCAAACACGAGGGTATCAACGACTTGGAGCTCCTTTACCAGCCATTGGACTCGCGATGCTCGTGAATGCAGACGCCAATTCCTCGGTGGACTCATCGGTTCCGGATGGGGCGTGGCGAGAGCCGTCACCACCACCATTCTATGATCCTTGGAACGATTCGGAGTGATACTTGAGCAACATGTCGGATAAAATGACGCGGTTGTGCTTGCTTTGTGTGCGATTCCATGTTGAGTTGTCTTGCTTGGTGTTGTGCGTTCCGTCTCCAGTTGTTCGCCGCTTTCATTTGACTCTGAGCGGTTTGCCTGGTTGATATGTTCAATTGTACAATGTATAGCGCAGCACGATGGGTCCTGCCTCGCTACTTTGACTACGACATCGTCAATGGCCCCGCGAATACGAGTGTAGAATGGATTCGGATCTATGTACCGGGTCCGTGGCATCCAGTCGCCGAGAACACCTTGGGACCAGCCCCGGATGACTCAACCACCTATCGGGAATGGCGCAAGGTTTACCACTTCGAAGTGTATTGGCCGAGGGATAGCACAGGCGGCACCAATACAGGTGCTGTTTCGCAGCCGGTATCTTATGCATCCTTCTATACTTGGCATTATAGAGACTGGGTCACCAGGGGATACCAACGGCTGGGTCGCCCACACCCTAGCATTGCGCGGCCAGTTTTCGCTTCGGGCGCACCGGACCTCATGTACGCTGGATTGACCTCTTCATCGGCATCCTCCAACTCGGATGGTGGCTGATGCTCGTCCTCGCCTTCCTGGGGAGTCTGTTCAGTTCAATTCGATTCGGGAGATTGACTTCGATACCGGAGCCGTGCATTGCTGCAAAAGTGATTTCTTGCACTGTGGTAGTTGTGTCTCTTTCAGTAATTGTTGTCTGCAGCCGTACCTATCAATTTGTCTTTCCGGGTTTGCGTTGTCATGCCGTGGCTGGAATGGTGTCCGGATCCTCAACAACCAGATGCCCAGTGGGTCAAGATCTTTCATCCGGGATCATGGACTCCACATGAAGAACATGATGCTCCACCTCCACCGCACACGTATAGAGAGTGGAGGGAGTTCTATGCTCCCAACCCGGACCAAGACGGTGAGCAGCTCAATGTCACCATGTGGTACAAAAGAGACTGGGCCACAGAGGGCTATCGGAGAGTCGCTGCCCCTCAAGCTGGTCATGACTTTGATTCTATGTCTTTTCCTGATCATCACAGCGTGGCCACGCAATCCGCGGCATTGAGTATGTCACCGCAGATGTTAGAAGCGATCCTTAGATCCTCGGATGCGGCGGATTTCTCTACCGAAGAACTGACTCGTCTCCAAGAGGGGATTTCTCAACAACTGACAGCTCGCGCACGTCACGCTTCCCAACTTCATCAACCTGTACGTGCATCACGTGGAATCACACCATCGGAGACTGTTGGGGTCTCCGACCCATACCGGCCTGTTAATCCTCCCGACAGCTGCAAAGCCAAGGCGAGACCTATCTTCGAGCTAAATGAGGACTAGACGCACGCGAGTGGGGTAGCATACAAAATAAGGGTGGTTTCCACACTTGCATTACCTTGCTTGGTTGTTGCTTGTACATGGTTGTGCATGGTGCCTGTTCCTCTATCAGCTGGATCGGAGCCCGCGATACGCCTTGCCTCTTACTTCGACATGGACATCGAGGATTCGAAGCAGCACCCATGGCTCGAATACTCGGTCTGGCAGGATCAGGAGTGGGTGCGGATCTACACTGCAGGAC